CCGGCAACGGATCGCAACCCTCAGTGTCGCGCCCGTACCGGCCCGGGACCGGCAACGGGATCGCAACCCTCGGTGTTGCTCCCGCACCTGCTCAGCCAGTGAGCGGGAACCGGTCTGTATGTGGGATCCGAACCCTTGGCTGGAGCGTCGCCGCGCTCCCAAGCGGTGCACTGTAGCAGTGCGCCCCCGGGCCGGCCCTTGTTTTTTAAAGATAACCTTGCATTTGGACTTCGTGGGTACATGAGTGTAGTAGGGTGCTGGACAACTAGCGGAATCAGCTTAGTGTCTATTATCCCACAAGCCAGCTAGAGAGGGGCAGTTTCTAAATCAGTCAGTCAAGTGTTTGGGTTTTTGTCTTAACAGTAAATTCTAGCTGTTCGGGGACTGCTTACTCCTTCCTATGGATATCTGCTGCCTTTCTACTGTGCGGGAGACCCTGAGCTACTTACTGCTGGAAGACAGAGCCCAGCGTGATACAGAAGCTGGGATTGTGGGGCTTTCAGCGTATGTGGGAGAGTGAGACCACACAGTGGTACAAATACATGGCAGGATGTGGTCTATGTCGGGGGTTTCCATGAGGGCTTTCATCTTTTTGCAAAGATTGGAGGGAAACCTTTATATAGAGGGTGGCCCTTGGAAATAACCTTACATAAATAGGTAAGATCACGACAGACCGAATTGGGAGAAGGAAGGTATCAACAGCAGAGGCCACAGCACAGGCTACAGCACAGCTGAAGCAGCAGCGGGAAGGCAGGAACGTGCACTGTAAGGTAGACCTTTCAGATCTGTCTCTCATTTTACCAGGTTTGTTAAATACACAGTTCCCAGAGCCATATTAGAACACTGTCCTTGGAGTTGCAGTCCTGCAGCCACATCATCAGACAAATAGATCTGCAGCAGGGCCCCTGCCATGGTGTACCTCAGACCTCTTAGATGAGGTTCAAGAGGGCCCGTCTTAATGCCACATGACATTAAGAGGTGGAGATGCGTGGAAACAACATGTCAGTATGGGAGCAGAGCCTTCAGAAGGGCCAGTGTCTTTGTTGCCACGGCAGTGCTGGGGCGAGTGGGGCACATTCCAGCTTAAAAGAAGAAAGTCCCAGTTATTGGAGCAGGTCACAGATGGGATGGGTGGCTTCAGGAGACAGGAAGTTTAACTTTCCTGGAGATTTTGGAGCAAAAATAAATTCATGGATCTGATTCGGGGTATGCTAAGTGTCCTCTTCTCACTGAAATTCTTTGCACTTGGGAGAAGATTGACTGCTAGAAAGAGAAAACTGGGAGTTTTCTTCGTGAAAGTGATAGTCACAGGAGTAGATTCAATCAGTGAGGGAGGAATGAACAGAGAAAGCAGAATCTTAACTTCTTTTAAAAAAATTAATTTAATTTAATTTAATTTTTTTACAGTAATCTAGGATTTAGTTATTTATTTTATTACTATTTTTTAAAAATTTTATTTTGTCGATATACAATGTGGTTGATTATTGTGGCCCAGTACCAAAACCTCCCTCCCTCCTCCCTCTCCTCCCTCACACCCAACAATGTCCTTTCTGTTTGCTTGTCATATCAACTTCAAGGAATTGTAGTTGTTATATGTCCCCCCCCCCCCCGGTTTTTTTTTTTG